CCTCCATTTGGTCGACTCTATTTCCCAAGCTTGCTTTTTAATTTTTCAACTCTTACAGTGTGTGCGTTTCTTTTCTTTTCTTGTTATTTTTTTTTTTATCTCCAGAAGATCTATTCTGTTCTTTTTGAGGGCTTCAATCTCCTTGCTAAAGAACTCATTGTGCTCATCTACTTGTTTTTCATGAAATTGTTCCCAAGCTTGCTATTTCATTTTTTAATTCTTGCAGTTTGTTATTTTTTATCTCCAGAAGATCTATTCTGTTCTTTTTGAGGGCTTCAATCTCCTTGCTAAAGAACTCATTGTGCTCATCTACTTGTTTTTCAGTTCCTGAAATTGTTGATATGATTTGTTTTGGAAGTCACTGACTCATTTAAGTCACCTATTTCTGTGTCTATAAGTTCATTTTCTGGAGATTTTTCTCTTTCTTTCTGAGATGCCTTGTCACCTTGGTTTTTTATAGTGTTTAATGGACTATTTCTGTGCCTGGGCATTAATGGAAGTGTATCCTGCTGTGGTAGCTCTTATGCGCAGATCTCATACTCACATGTGCTGGTGTGCATTTTGGGTGTTTTTTGTTGAGTTTTAGATATTCAGCTTATTGTTGTTTCAAGGGGAGAGATCTGGGGACATCTCTCACTCTGCCATCTTTCTCCAGCTCTTAACCATTTTTAAGTGTGCTTACAGTTCAGTCTTTAAGAGGCTTTGCTTTCTGGTGTGATCATATTTGTAATCAGAGTTGTTGGACCTCTTTTTATTGCTTCTGAGGATATTTGTGACCTGCTATCTTCTAAGTTACTGATTCTAATACATTCCTAATGTTATGCAACCATCACTACAGCCTATCTCCACATTTTGTTAATTGCTTCATCTTTTGATGGATACTTGGGTTGCTACCATGTTCTAGCTATTGTGAATAATGCTGTTGTAAACAGGGTGTACAGTTATCTCAATAATTGCTGGATCGTACAGTAATTCTATTTTTAATACTTTGAGGAAGGTCCACACTGTTTACTACAGTGACTGTACCATTTTACATTCTCACCATCAGGGCATAATTTTTCCATATCTTTGTCCACACCTGTTCTTTTGTTTTATTATATTTTTTTGATAGTAGCCATCCCAATAGGTGTGAAATAGTATTTTATTGTGGTTTTGATTTGCATTTTCCTAATGATTAATGATGTTGAGTATCTTTTCCTGTGCTTATTGGCCATTTGTACATATTTTTTGGGGAAATGTCTATTGAAGTCCGTTGCCCATTAAAAAAATTTTTTTTTGCTGTTTTTTAAAATTTCTCTACATTCTGGATATTAATCTCATATCACATATATGATTTGCAAATATTTTCTCTCATTCTTTGAGTTGCCTTTTTCTCTGTTGATAATTGTCTTTAGATGCACAAAAGCTTTTAATTTTGATGAAGTCTAATTTGTTTATTATTTCTATTATTGCCTGTGCCTTTAGTGTCATATGCAAGAAATCATTGCTGAATCCAATGTTCTGAAGCTTTTGCTCTAATGTACTTTTAACACACATATGTAGGTCTTTATAATTTGGCAGTATTATGTAACAATTCATTAAAATTTAATATTAGATCAAAAAGAAAAACTGTTAATATGTGTTACAGCAACATGGTTGCTGTGTTTATAGGTGTGATGTAGGTTAGAAATGAAAGTATTCAGAAAAGAACTTCTTAGAAATGAAATTAATTATAAGATATAGAGTAAATCTATAATTTCTGTTTGTTAACTAATAAATAGCTGGACTCTTTAAAAGCCACTGTGAATAGAAGTTCCAGTGATTTAGAAGCTTTGAGGAAAAATATTTCCAAAATAAAGAAGGATATTCATGAAGAAACAACAAGGTAAGAAAAAAGATACATAAATATGTTTATAGTTTTTGACTACTAGAAAAATTATTTTTTGTTAAATAACTACAAAATATAGCCCCTAAATTACTAAATTAAAAAAATTTCCTGATTTTTTAATGACAAAGGCTCAGGAGCCTTAAATATATATTGGTAAGAAAAATGCTTATGGCCTAAGAAACCTTCTAGGCATATGAAAAAAATCTCAGGATAAACTAGTCATTGTTTGTTTTCATTAAATACTTTTTAGACATGTTTTCTGTTTTTCCTCAAACTCTAGGTTGCACAAAATTAAAAATCATAATCAGATTACAAAAAAAAAATTAAAGGAACTAACTGAGAAAACTATGTCTGTAGAAGAGAAAGCTACCAATTTGGAAGATATGCTGCGGGAGGAGGAAAAAGGTGTAAAGGTAAAGTTTAATTTTAATTAAAAAAAATCACAGCAAATTTAGCAATAGTGAGTTTTGAGATTGGAGAAGTAGGTCTTTAAGAGGCTTTGCTTTCTGGTGTGAGCACATTTGCAGTCAGTTGTTGGACCTCTTTTTATTGCTTTCGAGGATGTTTGTGACCTGCTGTTTTGTTAGGCTCCTAATTCTGCGTTTGCTCCACTTTCAGCATTTAACTTTGGTGTCTCCTTTTAAAGTTAGCCCCTTTACCTTAGTTTCCATGCCTTCCCAATAATTACTGTGTCCATGTCCCAGCTTGTCATTCATATATATGTTTTTATATTACAAGCATACCTTGAAAAGTGCCCTTGTTTTACAACTGATTTCCACATGATTATCATCTTTTCTGTTTGTAAGCAAATTCCCCCCAGTGGTCTACATTCATTGCCTGTATTTCATCATCTACTACTACTATCTCTTTAACCTCTTACGGCCTGGCACTGTTTATTGGTAAATGGCTCTTAAAGGCTATCACTTTACTAACTCTACTGGCATCCGCCCTTCTACCTTAATATCTTTGGTATGCTGGTAGCATTAAAATCAAATTTTGAGGAACTGGAAAAGGTTGGTTTACCATTTCCTCTTTGAAAACTTCAAAGTGATGGTGTGACCTTTCACTGTAGGCACTATTTCTTGCTTTTAACATTTTTTGAGAGGGGAAGTAGAGGGGCACCTGAAGATGGTGGCAAAAATCTCTCATTTGCTGAGGCTTATATCAAATACGGTTTCACTTATATTTGGGTAGGATTGACTTCCTCACTGTGCTGTCGTGTGCTTAAAATTCCTGAGTAATGAAGTCATGCGGCAATCCTGATGAGTGGTATTTGAGTCCAAATTGTATATTATCTTTTTTAAAAGTTATTTGCCCCCCGCCCCAAGAGCATGATTTTTTTTGTAGAACATGAGATGGGACAGTATTAGAACTTATCAGAAATCTGTAAAAACTGTGAAATTTACATGAAATAGAACTTTTGGTGACAGAATGAAAAACTAGTGACATTTTTCAAAAAATTAGCTGAATTAGAAAAAAAAAAGTATTGCAGCATGTGTAGATGTGTAGTGATTGTGCTTTAGCAGGATTGTGCTCATAATCTTGGTTTTTATAGCTGTTAGATATGAACCCTATATGTTTTGGAGAGGTACCGTGTTATTCACCACCAAGCACTGACTTTAAAACTGCCAGGCAATCTTTGAGAAGGTATTAAAGCCAATGAAAATTGTCTATTATATGAAAGTAATGTATTTTATATAATTATATCAGATTATATTTCTTGATTTGTGAAAATTTAAATTTGCCAGTCACAGATGTCTTTTGTTTTATATCAAGGTTCATTGGTTGCTAAAGGGAAATATGCTTATCTAGATATAGGAGCACTGAGAGAAATTATTTCAACACTTAAAAATGATAACTTTCAATAGATCTTGGCATGGTAGATCTACTTGAAGCCTAGAATGTATTGGTTGTGAAGCCTTGAAATCAAGACAGATCTGCCTTCTGAGAAAGGAGCAGTGGGAGTGAGGGACCGATTTTCCTTCCTAGAGGGCTGCATATTTAGGGAGGCTGCCTGAAAACAGAGTGAGTAAGAGGTAGTGTCAGTAGTGTGATGGGGCCAGCCCTACCAGCTCACAAGAGCTGATGGTTAAATTTTCCAGAATTTTGCAAGTCAGCTACTAAACATATCTACTATTAAAAATTGAATTATATAGACTTACAATTAAGTAAATTATATTAAAAACAAAAGTAATCAAAAGCACTCATCACTTCCAGATGATTTTAGTATTATCTATGTTTTTAAGATTACTTAAGATTACTTACATCTATTATATGTGTATAGTGGAAATACTGCATAATGGTCTACTGCATAATGGTCTACTACTGTGTATCTCTTTCCAAGTCCACATTTAGTAGAATCATGTTAGTAGCTTGCAATTGGCCATAGTGGGAGTACTTACACCATGGAAATCAGCCTCTTGTCCCTAACCTCTCATTTACTGGAAAGCTGGTGGTTCAACATTTCCCTGCTCGCCTTCGAGGATAGTGCCTCGAAGAAGGTGGGAGATTGGGTGATGTGGTTTCTTCCCTGTAACACCCTCAATACATGAGTAAACTTTGTGAACTTATAAGCTGTGTGTCTCAGTATATGTTATTTTATAAGGAAACTATTGGAAGGGCCAAGTTCTAAGGCTAGCGTGGGAAAGAAATATGATGTACATAATATAGGAATAGAAAACTACGATTCTAGTCTCTAGAATAGACTACAGGAAATATTAGGAATTTGTTGAAATTGTGGGAAGGGCTTTATATTCTCAATGTTGGGGGGGTCATTTATGAGCCCCTTAATTATAATGTTTATATGATAAAACATTTGAAGCTATTATGATTTCATTTATCACTATTATTCTTATCATCAGGAAGTGGAAGTTCAATTGAACATAGTGAAAGATGTGCTATTTAAGAAAGTTCAGGAATTACAGACTGAGACAATTAAAGAAAAAGCTGTTGTATCAGAAATTGAAGGAACCCGTTCCTCTCTAAAGCACCTCAACCATCAGTTACATAAACTGGATTTTGAAACCTTGAAGCAGCAAGAAATTATGTACAGTCAGGTAAATGTTACTCTTATGAATGAATATCTTCAATATTGGTTATAGTAATGTTATAGTAGTGTTGGTCAAGATACCGAAGTGTTCTAAGAGAACAAAGATTTCTAAGCACTCTTGGAGGGATAGACAGATCCTGATCGTGGGATATCATGTTAGGTCACTATTTTTTCCTGTTCTGAAATAAACAGGTAAGAAGATAGACAGTTCTAGTGAGGGAGAACTATGCTTTAAATGAACCTGGGGCAACTGGACCTAGAGTAAAACAAAACAAGGAGTTGGATATCTGAAACATAGAAAAACCATGTGTTGATTCTTAGTTATGCAGACATAGGCTTTCCCACCAACCCTAGACCAATAGGTTAAAAGTATTTTTACAGTTTTTTCTCATTTGTTCTATTTATACATTCGTCTCACATTAATTTCTTAATGTCCTCCCTTTCTACATCTTAATTTCCCCATCTAAAATATTCTTAGTTTCTCAAAATTACAGATGCAAAAGTATAATTAAAAAAAAACAATATAAGAATAGAAAACTACACTAGTAGAAGTTTTAAGCCTTTCATGGCTATCAACTTACGATATCATTTTTTTTTGTATCTGTTATAAAATGTACCCTCAAAAATTCATGTCCATGTATATCCAGTGGGTTTACTGAGATTCCATCATGATTGTATGATAAATACCTCCATATGTGACTTTGTTGTATTTTCAGATTACTTCTCTGTCACTATCATGTACCGTGGTTGTTGAAGAATAGGTTGCTGTTTCTCCCCTTAGAGTAAGAAGGATTTTGTCCTATAAATTACTGAAGGATTAAAGTGAGTTTAGTATAAGGTGACACCCAGGCTAACTCATAAGAAAGTCTTCAGTGTATCTTTATATTTATAGAAATGATTTTGACTATTTGTTTCTCTTAAATTATTTTTAAAAACTGTAACAGGATTTTTTCATTCAACAAATGGAACGCCGAATGTCACGGTTAAAGGGAGAAATTAATTCAGAAGAAAAACAATCCCTTGAGGCAAAAATTACTGATCTTAAAAAGACATTGGAAGAAAAAAAATCTACATTTGGCCTTTTGGAAACACAGATCAAGAAGCTTCATGTAACTTATCCAAAATATTTTTATGCTTCAAATATCCTAGACATTAGTCATTCTGTTTTAAGTCAACACGTTTCTAAGACTTTATTTAGGATAGATGATTGCCAAGCTGTCTGTATATATAACGAATGTATGAACTGATGTTCATATTTCTATACTGAGTATGAAAATGTAATGTTACCATTGATTATGCATTTATTATAAGCTAAATATATTACATATCTTTAGTATTTTGTTTCATTTAATCCTTACAAATGTCTTTGAGGGGACGATGTTATTATTTTACAGATTAAATAACTTGCCCACAGTTACACAGGTAGCATATGAAGAGCTAAGATTTTAGCCCTTGTCCGTGTGATTTAAAACATTGATAAATTTCAGTTTTATATTACGCATCTGCCATAATAACTTGATTGCTTTTTTATAGGTTGTTGTATTGTTATTCAAATATTTTACTTACTTATAATATTTCAGATAACTTTATTTTGTTAAGGCGAAAATGTGCTTAATCCTTCGGTATTTTGATGTTTATGGTAATATAAAACCTATGTTAAAGTTTAATAGGAGTGGACCTGAATTGGCTGAGAACTCTGAAGGGTGTAAATTTTATTTAACAGCTGGAAAGGCCTAGTGCTGAGTGTTTTCTAGTGGTTATAGGAAGAATTGCTCTGAATTACTTTAGGGCTACAGAGGAGAAAGGGAAATATTAACTTTTTCAATTAAAAAAAATTATTTTATGATGATAAAATTTTTATTTGAAATAGTTTGTAGCCTGACGAAGTATCTTTTTAACTGTTTCTTTGGTTTAGTGGGAGAGAGCATATGTTTTGGAAACCTATGTTTTGAACACATGTTTAAGAAAGAATTGGTTTTGAATGTCAAGATTATACCATGATTGCTATTTTAACTTTTCTGAGCCCTAGTTTAATTATCTATTAAATGGAAAAGAAATACTTAATATTGTTTTAGGAAATTTGGGAGAATTAGAAGCAATGTATATCTTTTAAAAAATTTTTATTTTATTATTAGTTTCAAGTATACAGTACATTGGTTAGACATTTATATAGTTTATGAAAAAATCTACCTAATTGTTCTCTCCTGTGACTTTACATCTAGCCATTACATTACTGCTGACTGCATTCCCTATGCTGTGCTCCCCATTCTCATGACCCTCAAACTACTAATTTGTACCTTCTTTAACCCTTCACCACTTTATCCCAGCCTTTCAATCCCCCTCCCTTCTGGCTATCACAAGATTGTCCTCTATATTTGTGAGTCTGTTTTTGATTACTTTGTTCTTTTTGTTCCTTAGATTCTGCATATAAGTGAAATCATATGATATTTATCTTTCTCTTTCTGACTTATTTCACTCAGCATAATAACCTCTAGGTAGGATTTTATTTTATTTTTAATGGCTGAGTAATATTCCATTGTATATATGAACCATAACTTCTTTATTTTATTTTTATTACAGTGACATTGGTTAATGAAATCTAGTAAGTTTCAGGTATATAATTCAACAGTAAGTTATACATATATTGCACTGTGTATTCACCACCCATTGAACCATAACTTCTTTATCCAGTCGTCTATTGATGGGCATTTAGGTTTCTTTCATTATCTTGGCTATTGTAAATTGTGCTAGCATGAACACAGGGGCACATAGATCTTTATGAATTATTGTTTTGGTTTTCCTTTGATAAATACCCAGAAGTGCAATTGCTGGGTCAAAAGGTATATCCATTTTTAATTTTTTGAGGAACCTCCAGACTGTTTTCTATAGTGGCTGTTCTAATTTGCAATCCCACCAACAGTGTATGAGAGTTCCCTGTTCTCCACATCTTCACCAACACTTGTTCTTTGATTTATTGATAGCCATTATGACAGGTGTGAGGTGATAGCTCATTGTGGTTTTAATTTGCATTTCTCTGATGATTAGTAGTGACCTTGAGCATTTTTTCATATGTCTATTGGCCATCTGTATTTCCTCTTTGGAGAAATATCTATTCAGGTCTTCTGCCCATTTTTTAAATTGGATTGTTTATTTTTCATTTTTGAGTTGTGCGAGTTCTTTATATATTTTGAATATTAACCCTTTATCAGGTGTATCATAAGTGGATATCTTCTCCCAGTCAGTCAGTTGCCTTTTCATTTTGTTGATGGTTTTCTTTAGAAGCAATGTATATCTTATCACTGTGCTAGGTATTCAACAAATGGTATTATTTTAATTATATACTATATGAGACTGTTAATGCTGCAGAAAGACAGGAGGGTGACCTGTGTATCTGAACATTTTTCTTGACCCTGGCCTGAATTGTTTCTGTTTTGCTGTGTGGATATGGTTCTAGTATTCTTTCTTTTAACTGGGGTTCTGTCCATGTTGCAGTTTGCTAGTACTTATTTATGCCTATCCCAACTCTGGTTTTAACAGAGAGATAAATACATTAACAGAAATGCAAATGAATATTAAAAGTTAAAGTTAGCTACCCTTCTAATGAAGTTTTGCTCTCTCTCAATAGTAGCATCAGGTTGTAAAGTTGTTCATTCTACATTCTTTCTGCCATAACACCTATCTCTTATTTTGCATAATAGAAACTAATTTTTTCTGATTGAAAATCACCTTAAATTTATTTTTTCCATTCTAAAAGTTAATTTTATGAAATTACATCTTTATGAAAAAAAATTCCTCTTTTTACTGTCTTGCTGGAATCTTAGGTCCTGATACTTCAGAGAAGTACAGGTGATCTCAAAGGTAGAGGAAGGAGGGAGAGTAGTAGAGAGAGAAAAAAAGAGAGAGGAAAAGAGATAGATCTTGGAACTAGAAAGTTTTTGCTTTAGGTATTCAGAGGGGACTAAGAGCACAAACCTTGTTCTGGGTTCACAATGGGAGGAGGGATACAAATAGGTATAAAGCTGGAAAACTGGTAGCTGTATATATGTACGACCCATTTATGCATCCGATGGAGTTAGATCTTATCTAGCATTCTTCTCTCTAGCATATGTGATTATCTATGTAATAAAAAAAATAATAATAATAAATACATGACACTTCTATGTATCGCTGTTGCCCACACTCTTTGCCAGCAACTTCTTTAATCCTCGCAGCAACGCAGGGAGGCAGGTATTGTTATCATCTCCATTTTAGAAATGAGGAAACAGGAAGAGTGGCCCACGAGGGTCAGAGGGCTAATATATAATTACAGCTGTTTGATTCCAGAGCTTGTACTGTTAACCAAGACTCTGTGGTCTCTCGCATTGCTAATGTTTTTATCTTCTGGGACTTGGATTGAATCAAATAATGAACTCTAGAAGGTGAGCCATGTATTGAACCAAAGCTTGGGCTCCCTCCTCCCATTTCTTTCCATAAATGGTGATCACTTAATAATTCAGGTTGAACTGTAACCATACATACTCAAAACTAAACTCAAGCATCGATAGATGAGAAAAATGAAAAATTTTAAATGTGAATATTCATATATATTATATTAGACATATTAGAACATAAAGAGTAAGATTTTTAAAAATCTGATTATTATAAATATTTAATGGAACTTATAACTTAATATATCTTAATAGTACGTATTTCATATTATTATTTAAAAATATATGTACCTTTTTTCCTTTTTACAGAATGATCTTTACTTTATCAAGAAGTCAAACAGTAAAAATTGTGGTGAAAAACAGTTCCTCATGACCAAAATTAATGAATTAAACCTTTTCAATGACAGATCAGAGAAAGAACTTAAGAAGGCTAAAGCTTTTAAACAGGTGCAATAAAATCATATGTGTATATAATATTAAAAGCCATTGGATTAAAATTATAAGTTTAAAAATATAGCAAACTATAAACTTAATTATTTATATAGTTTTTTCCATTTTATTTTCAAAGTCTAATTTTAATCCAGACTTATAATTTTAAGTTAATAATTTAAATAAGTTTAATTTATTAAATTTTAAGTTAATAATTATTTAAAACTATAGCAAACTATAAAAAAGACAATAGGTCACTGTAATCATTGTACACAAGATAAACTGTTAAAGTATATTATTTACTCCCAGTTTTTTAAAGAAAATTGGCTGTATATATTCTATTTAAAATTTTTAAATATATTGTACATATTTCTAAAACATTAATTATTCTTTAAAAATACTTTAAAAGTCTTATAGTCAATTGTATGAAGTTACTATAATTATTTAAGCATCTCATATTTTTTGGATTTGTATTTGTTTCCAATGTTTGGCTTGTCTAAATAGTGTTATGTTCTATGCACATACATCATTGTACAGTTGTTTAATTAGTTCCCTAGGATAAATACCTAGCTGTATAATTAAGGTTCAAAAAGAATGAATATTTTCAGTGTCTCGAAACTATTTTTAAGCCAAATTGCCCCCTAGAAGGTTCAATTAATACTCCCACTAGCAATGTGTAAACTTTCTATTTTACTCATCACCACCAAGGCTGGATATTACAGTTTATAAAATTGTTGTCAATTTTATAGGCAAACATGGTATCTCATTGTTTTTAGTGTTCATTTTTTAAGATGGTGACATTTTGAAACATTTTATGTTTAAACATAAAATTTAAAATACGTTTAAATAAAAGTGTTTAAAATACTTTTTTTTTTTAATTATCCTATGTTCCATAATTTTTCTTTTTGGATTCCTAGTTTATTTTCTTGGCTCATATTTCCACTAGGGGGTTTATATTTTTTAAATTGTTTTGTAAAAGATCTTCATATGTAAAAATATTAACTGTCATATTGCCAATATTTTCCCCATTTGCTTTAAATTTTTATTCAGGTTTTTGACATAAACTTCTTTAACATCATATATTTAAGTATTTTTCCCTGTATAATTTTTATACTTAGAAACTTCTTTGTCACATCAAAAATCAAACAAATGTTTACTATTTCTAGTAGCTGCTTTCTAGTAGTTTCATCTCTTACATTAAGTTTTTCCATTTATCTGGGATTTATTTTTGGTACATATGAGATGTAGGAATCTTTTCTCCAACTGAAAAGCTATATTTTGAAATAGTAAAATCTTATATTCTGGAGTATTTGTTTCTGGGTTTTCTATTTTGAAATTTGATCTATTTGTGTACTCATACTGTACTCATGACTGAATTGTTTTAAAATAAAAATTTACTTATACATTATTTTGTGGGATTTAGTTTATAATATAAAAATGCTCATCTTTAGGACTTCATGTATTTTCTGGATATCTCAAGTTTAAATTTTGGGAATAGTTTCTTCCTTTTTTTTTTAGTAAAACTTGAATTTAAAATTGAATTATAATAAAAGACTTGGAATAACTATAAATCATTTTCTTAAAAAGAAAAGAAAAACCAGAGTCATCATTCAGAGCAATCTGAATTTAACCCTCGTTAATATCATGGTCAATGGTCAAATTAGAAAAAGTTATATTTTCAAGTTTGATTTTGTAGCAATAAAAAAATATTTTAGTTTGAGTATAAAAATAAGTTTTTCAATATTTTATAATTTTTTTTATGTTGATAGGATTTGATGATAGAAGATAATCTTTTAAAACTTGAAGTTAAACGTACTCGAGAAATGCTTCACAGTAAAGCAGAAGAAGTTCTTTCTCTGGAAAAAAGAAAACAGCAGTTATACACAGCTATGGAAGAACGAACTGAAGAAATTAAGGTTCACAAAGCAATGCTTGCATCACAAATAAAATATGTTGATCAAGAACGGCAAAACGTAAGGTAATAATTAGAGTTTTTAAAATGCTGCTTAAGAATTTTGAAAACAAAAGGGTGATGTCAGAAGAGCTGACTGCTCTCTCCACCACCCTGGACGTCCATCTTTCTTAATCATTTGAAAACCTTTTGATATAATATATGGGACATATTTAGCCATCTATGCTTTTTTTCTCTCTTTCCTTTAGCTAACTCCTCATTCTTAAGATTCTCCCTTTTACAATGAGATCGTTAATTCTCTTGGAATTGATTTTTTGTATGGTTTGTGGTAAGGGTTCATTAACGTATTTTCTCTTATGGATATCTAAGAACAGCATTTACTGAAGCAATTTTCCCCCAGAGGTTTAGCATGTCTTTTATAAAACTTATTCCTGGCTGTTATTTTTTTAAATATTACTATCAATGTTATCTCTTTTTAAAACATTTCGTTTCTGGTTTGTTGCTGGTATATGGAAATGCAGTTGATTTCTGTATATTAAGTGTCTAGCAACCTCGCTTAAACTCTTATTAATGGTAAGATCAATCTGTAGATTCTAATTTCTGTGTATTTGCAAATAACAGTTTTGTCTCTTCCTTTCCAATCTTTATAGCTTTTCTTCTTCTTGCTGTATTTCCTTTGTTACCTAACCTCCAGTACGATGCTGAGTAGCAGTGGTGATTGCAAATACCTTTGCCTCATGCCTAATCTCAAAGGGAAAGGTTTTATTGGTTTATCGTTAAGTATGACATTTACTGTAGTGTTTTTTGAGATACTCTTTATAATATTAAGGGAGCTCACATCTATTTTCATTCTTTGTAAGTGATTTTTAAAATTCATTTAATCAGGAATGGGTATTGACTTTTATTATATGCTTTTTCTACATTCATTGATATGATTGATGGAGCTCCTTCAATCTGTTAATATAATTAAATATATAATTAAATATATTGATTTTTCAAAGTTAAACAACTTTATATTCCTGGAATAAACACAGCTTGTCTGTCAGATATTACATTTTGTATACATCTTGTTTTTTGGGATGATTTTTTAATATAGTTTTTGCATCTATGCTTATAATTCTCCTTTTTCTACTGCCCTGCTCGAGTTATCAGGCTATCAAAGTTATGTCTACTTCTATAAAATGATTTTTGTGTGTTTCTTGTTTTTCTGTACTATGGAGAAGTTTGTAAAAGAGTAGGATTATACCTTTATTGAATTTTCAAAGACCTCACCGATAATGCTGTTGGATGCCTGGAGTTTTTTGAGGAAGGTTTTAAACTATTGGTTCAATTTATTTGTTGGTCAATAGAGCAATGCAGATTTTGTATGACTTCTTGAGCCAGTTTTGGTAAGTTGTATATTTCTCTAGGAAAAATTTTCCATTTCATCTAATTTTCAAAGTTATTGTCACAAGGTTGTTCATAATATTTTCTTATTTGTTTCATGGACGCAGTGTTTCTAGCTTTCCATTCCTGATTTGGATTATTTGTGACTTCTCTTTTTTGGGTGAGATAAGTCTTGCAAGTAATTAATGAATTTTCCTTTTGGTTTGCTCATTTTGATTTTCTCTGGAGATAGATGCTTACTTCTGGAGATAGATGCTTAGCTAATTAATTTTCGACTTTGAAGGCTAAAACAATTTCTTTTAAGTATTACTGTAGATGCAACCTACACAATTTTCTATAAGGGCCAGATACTAAATATTACAGGCCATGTAGCCTCTATTGCAACAACTGAATTCTGCCATTGTAGAGTGAAAGCAGCCATAGACAATATGCAAATAATTATGTGCATGGCTGTGTTCTGATAAAACTTTATGGACACTGAAATTTGAATTTCATAGAATTTTCATAAAATATAATTTTTCTTTTTTTCAACCATTTTACTTTTAAAAATGTAAAAGCCATTCTTTGCTCATGAGCTGTACAAAAACAGGAGGCAGGCAGACTGCTGACTCTGGGTTTTTATTGCTGAGTAGGAATATTCCATTGTCGGCATCTACCCCAATTTATTTATACATTTACGTATTGATGAACATTTGAATTGTTTCCAGATTTTGGCTGTTAGAGATAAAGCCACTATGAACATATATGTGTTCTTGGTATGGACATGTGCTTTCTTTTCTCTTGGGTAAATACCTAAGAGTGGATTAGCTGGATTATATGGTAGGTATTTTTTTTTTTTGTCTTTCCTATCTTTCATTGGTTTTACTAAATTTCGTTCTTCTTTTTAATTGTTTGGAGGATATACATTCTAATTATAATTTTTTTGTTAGTTATTCCTAAATTAAAAAGAAACTTTAATCTTCCTATTTCTTTATGAATACTGAAGATTAATTAGTTTCTATGGTTTTTCCCTCCCAAAACAGGTAAGACTTTTTAGCATTTCTTACTGCTGTATTTCCTGTCTCCATCTTTCATGTATTGTTGAAATTACTGATTATAGTTTCAGGTCATTTTTTGTTTTTAATATTATGTCTATACTTTTTAAAGAACTCTTTTCTTATAACTTGCTTTAAACTGTAAAGCCAGTGTGCTAGCACTAATTTCAATCTAGTTATGTTTTACTTTGTTTCTTGGTTTAATATTCTTTTGTGCATCCCTTGTCATCTTATTTTATTGGATTTCCTATTATAAAAAACTGTTTATAAGAGGTCTGCTTCCAGGCTAATTCATTTTATTTTGTAGGGAACCTGGTTTTTCTTTTCTCTCTAGAAACTTTGAGACGTTATTTTTATCTTTGGAGGTTTCAATGTTTCCCTGTACATGTCTGGGTTTTTTATCTTTTTTATTTCTCTCGTTTGACCGTTGGTGGCTTCTTTCATTTATTTCATTCAAGTCTTTTTTTCAGGTCAGGAAAATACTCTATTAATTTTTTTCTCATACAACTTTCTCTTCATATGTTGCTCATTTTTAGTGTATGTTGGCCTTAGATCTATCTTCTAGATTTCTTAACCTTCTTCTCATTTAAAATTTTCCTTTTATTCTACTTTTTAAGATATTGTCTCCCTATTTCCCTGTTTTCTGTCTCCTCCCATTCCTTGCCCCACCATCTCTCTATATCATTAATTTAGTTTTTCTTCACTGCTTCTAAATTGAAAAGGGGAAATGATTTGCAAGAACTCCATTTCTTCATTGGTCCTTTCTTTTCATGGCAGCCCATTCTTGTTTTATGGGTGTTTTTGCATGCGGTGTCCTCTCATGATTTGGAAGACACTAATTAGAATACTTTCAAAGTTAGCTTCTATCCCATGCATTATCTTTGTTTCTCCTAGGGCTTGTTCTATCTTTGTTCATTTTGTTCTTTTTATTCATGCTGTTAGCTTTCTATAAATGTCTGATAGTTTAGGCTTTCTGTTATTTAAAAATACTTAATTAATAATCATGGTGATTGGTATAGCTAGCTGGTATTGGTTTCTTCTGCAATTAGATAGATCTCTTTCTTTGTCTGTTCTCTATATAGGAGGCTGATTGTTGGCTCTGGGCTAGTCTGTCCTTAAAGAGCATAAGGAGTTTGTCCCTAAAGGAGTTTATTTTGGGTGATTTCATTCCTGGGTAGAACTGCTTCTTTTTCATTAATCTCAACTCTTATGGAGTCCTGGAGTGACATCATGCTCTTTTTTATTTTTCTCTGTAGCTCCAAGATACAATACTAAGAACTCTGGTAATTTTATCATTATCATTAGAGCATAAATAATCCCTGTAGGGATTGAGGAATTGAGGAGAGTGGCCCAGATGTTCTGTAGTTAATCTTTATTAGTTTTCTTGATCAAAAGCTCAGAGATCATTCTTGTTTTTATTTCTTATTCTTGAGTTTGGATTTTTTCCAGACTTCTTTGGTGAAAAATAGCTCAGTAGTATTCCTGTCAATAGTATTCCGTTTCATGAATTCATGAAAAACTTGTTTTTCTCCTTCTCAGAGTTGTGGTATTTTTTTTTTTTCTTTTAATCTTTCCATTTTGGGCCAGAGGAGAGATATATTTGTACTCAGTACACCATCTTAAGCTAGAAGGCCAATAAGCCTTGTTTTTTATAATCACATTAACGATGAATAAATATTTTCTGATAAAACAACAGTGATACTTGAAAATAAGCAAAGCTGTAACTTCTCACAGTTATTAATACGTTTTACTATCGAATTTCTTCAGGAGGAGGTAAACTGGTAGGTTGAAGATTTATTTTCCCCATGGTTAGATGGCTCACTTTTCATGAGGTTGTAGCAGGTAAATGTGTTATCTTCATGTTGCCATGCATATATCAGCATTATTAGTATTATTATAAAATAAGTTAAAAAATAGTTCATAAAATATAAATTTACTGGAATGAAAGGAAAAAAAATTAACCAGCATATTTAAGAATCTAAATCTTAGGAGACAATTCTCTATGGGTTTCTCATATTTCTGCATGCCTTGCAAAGAGAGACATAAACTTTCCTGTTCTGGACTATCTTTTTAAAAAAATTTGGTAAAAAACACATAAAATTTACTATCTTAACCATTTTTTAGCATACAGTCCAGTAATGTTAAGTATATCCACATTGCTGTGCAACAGCTCTCCAGAACTTTTTCATTTTGTAAAACTAAAACTCTATACCCATTAAACACTAACTCCCCATTTCTCCATTCCCCCAGCCATTGATAACCACTTTTATTTCTGTCTGTATGACTTTGACTACTTTAGATACCTCTTATAAGTATTTGTCTTTTTGTGACTCTTATTTCAGTTAGCATAATGTCCTTAAGGTTCATTAATGTTGCATGTGATAGAATTTCCTTTTTAAGGCTGAATAATATTCCATTGTATATGCCACATTTTGTCTACCCATTCATCTGTCCATGAACATTTGGGTTGCTTCTATCTGACTACTGTGAATAGTACTGCTATAAGCATTGGTGTGCATGTATCTCTTTGAGAACCTGCTTTCAATTCTTTTGGTTATATATCTAGAAGTGGGATTGCTGGATCATATGGTAGTACTATTTTTAATTTCTTGAGAAATGGCCATACTGTTTTTCAGCAGTTGCACCATTTTACAGTCCCACCAGCAGTGCATATTTTTTGCAGTGTTCCAGTGAGGTGATATCTCATTGTGGTTTTGATTAGCATTAGACTATCTTTTTAAAGATATTTGGATAGTAAACAGCCTCAGAAGCTAGAGGTAGTACCTCCCCCTGGAGCAAAGGTTTGTTTGCTTATTTCCTATTATAAAATATTTAGATTACCTAAGCTTGAGGTTCCTCAGTTGTGATGTAAGCCTAATGTGTGTGAAGCATTCATTTGAGCTCTTCCTTACCTGCATGGTACTTCAGGAGCAAGGGCAACCAATGCAAACAGGAAGCTCATGCCATGAGTGATAAAGAGCTTTTTCTGACTAGGAATCTTGTGTCTTCTGCCAGCATCCATGAAACTGTGGGAGGCTTGTTACTTTTCAAATAAGGTGAAATCTGAGACCCTTCACCGTGAATTATAAAACTGAAAAGTGAGAACATATTTAATCTGGTCGAGTTTAGTAATAACACAAATATAAATGTCTTTTATAAGAACACTATAGTCCTTTTAAAAACTATTTGATTTTCAATGTTTAATTTTTCTCTATCTTCATATTAGTGCTGAGTTTCATGAGCGGCTAAGTAAAATTGATAAGCTGAAGAATAGATATGAAATTCTTACTGTTGTTATGCTGCCCCCTGAAGGAGAAGAGGAGAAAACACAGGCCTATTATGTAATAAAGGTAATCTTAATCGATTTACAACTGTGATAGAATGAATTATCCTTTCTTAGATCTTTGTTAACAATCAAAATAGGAACTTTTTTTTTTTTGTCATGAAATTTCATAGTGTATGTGTTAGGGGCAACCTCATAGCACTTTAGTTAACTATTTCACTTATGGCCATAAAACATTTGTTGCTATTGGAGGTACTGAAGTTCTATAAGTTTTATACACCTCCAGTCCATGAGGACAAAGAGAGGTCTGGAATACTCTTGACAATTTTTTTTTTTTTTTGCCATCTTTGTGTCATGTAATTTCCCCACGTTTATTCAAGATTCATAATCTCATTTACCCTAAGACCTATTATCACTCTGTGTGTCTTAGTATGCATGTGACATCCTGTTCAACACCTCAGGCTCAGAGCTTTACTTCATTATAGCCACCTACTTACATGGCTGCTTCCTAGACCTTATCACCACCTGGAGCTACACCACTTCTGAAATCTTATACTCCAATTTATCATTGCAGTTCTGGTATGGCAGATATTCAGAGAGGAATAGAGCTGCCCTATTGCCTTCATATTAGATGGGAGACAAACTTATCATGTGACTCTGCTGTGTTCTGTTGTTTGAGAGTTGTCTGCCAACTCATGGTTGTCTTTACCTAGGAACCCATAATAGAAAATTCAGAGGTGATCAGGATTTGGATGCAATTCCCTTCTCGAGCACTACTATATTCATCTTTCCCATGTAGAAATATCCTGAACATGTGTGATTTCCTCTACAGAGAGATCTAGAAAGTTACTCAAAACACCACAAAGAAGGAATGGAAATTGTAACTTTAACTCATTTTTCCTATATCATATATAGATAGGGGTGGGAAGATCTGAATGGCTCTTGTGAATGCTCCCTCCCTTTTGAGTTCTACTTAATCTTCCAAGTTTCCTTCTATAGTCTTTCTTTGACTTGGCATTTTCTAGTGGGCTTTCCAGGGATTATTGATTTTGTAGTAGTGTACACATCTGGCTGATTTTCTATTTATTTTTTTTTTAGGCAAGGCAACCCTTGGTTGACCTCACAGATTATAAGGATCTTGTCAGCTCACAATCCCTTATTTTTTTAATTTTTACGCCTATAGCACCTGATCTTCTTAGGTGTTCTCCCATTCAAGTACTAACCAAGCCCAACCCTGCTTAGCTTCCGAGATCAGACAGGATCGGGCTTGTTCAGGGTAGCATGGCTGTAGACTAGTTGATTTTCTGTTGACTAACCTATTTTATAACTCTGTAAGGATACAAGTTAACTTGCAGGAAAGTTGGTAAAGTATATGATTCTTGTCCATAACAATGCAAATGAGTTTGGGCCAGTAGAAATACAACTGACTTATACTCTGTGGGAAGATACCCCAACCATTCTTTTATTGTCCTGAGACAATAAAAGTTTCATACCTATAAGCAAATTTTTTTTCAGCATTTCTCTGTATGTATATTAAATATTTCAAGTATCCTTTTGAACTTGTCTAAATATCTTACTGGTTCTTTCATTAATGAGTTGAATATAATCTTTGACACATTTTTATTTCTATGAGAATAATTTTTAACATTTTGAAAATAACACCAGCAGTGAAACTGCTGGTAAAAACTTAAACTTGTCAATCAGAAGTTAACTATCACTTTTGTTTTTGAATGTGGTAGATAGATTTAGAGTATAAATTTAGTCAGTTCAAGATTCTGTGCCTTATATCCTTTATATTCCCCCCAAGGTGATCTTTCCTGAAGGGCACACATATGTGTTTATAGCACTGGGGAAGTGGAATTTGATCAGTGCTTCCCACTGTTTTGTTTCTTGCATGATGTATTTTAGGGGTACACAAACTATGGACCCTGAGCCAAATACTGCCCAGCCTTGTTTTATAAATAAGCACTAGAACACACAATACTTCTCATTTATTTACATATTGTCTATGGCTGCTTTCATGCTATAAAAAAAAAATAGCAATGGTATTATGAGTAGTTTTGATAGAGATGGAATGGTCCATAAAGCCTAAAATATTTACTGTCTCACCCTTTACATACAAAGTTTGCTGACCCCTTGTATTAGTTTGCTAGAGCTGCTGTAACAAAGTACTACAAACTAGGGTTTAAATTATGGAAGTTTGTCTGAGAGTTCTGGAGGTTAGAAGTCCGAGATGGAAGTGTGAACAGGGTTGGTTCCTTCTTAGGGCTATTGAGGGAAAATCTATTCTGTGCTTCTCATAGCTTCTGGGGGTTTGCTGGTGATCTTTGGTGTTCCTTGGCTTATGGAAGCATCACCATGATCTCTCTCCTTTCTTTAGTCTTCTGCCCATGAATGTCTGTATCTGTGTCCAAATTTCTCATTTTTTATAACACCAGTCATATGTGAATAGGGCCCTAACAACCTCATGGTAACCCGACTACATTTGCAAAGACCTTATTTCCAAATAAGGTCACATTCTGAGACACTACGGGTATCTTTTTCTGGGGGGAAACAGTTCAGTCTATAGCTTGTGTTTGGTGTTGCAGTAACCTCTTATCTATGGGCACACGTGGTTTTGTTTTTCCTGTCACCCACCCTTGTACTTTCTAGTATTGACTCTTAAGAGCTAGACTGAAGAACATTAATGGTAACCAGTGAAGAACTGGCATCTTTCAAATCTCATTTCCAAGTTCCTCTTAGTTTTTATAAGGAATCAGTTCAATTTTGACAATTTAATGAAACTGTCCAGTGAAATTACTAGAAAATGTTTTAAAATGTTGATATAAATGTATAAAGATTTCTTCCAAATAAATCAGCTTTTATAATCCAGGATAAAAAGGTATATAAGCTCTGATATAGAAGCAAATGGGATCAGTTTTATCAGTTTAAGGTATATGTGGAAATAGATCAGAAATTTGTATAAATAAATTCAATCTCTTCATTTGACAAATGAACTGAATTCAGAGAATGGAATTTAGTGTTATTCAACTCACAAGTAGGAAATCTGCAACTAAAATCTAGCTGTTTTGATGTATTCTAGCTCTTCCATGACTACATTTTGAATGAAATTGTTGCTTAGACTCAAAGGAATTAGGTGTAATTTATCTAAAAACTTTTTTTCACTGAGCTTTTTTATTATGTACTATTTGCTACAAAAATATGTGTAACATATTTTGAAGCATAAGGCAAATACCAGTGAAAACATTAAGAATTGAAACATTACCAATGAAACTTTTCCAATGACCACATGCTTGTTTAAATACACATACCTAGAGACTGAAAAAATTAATAAAATAGTTGATTTTCACTAAAAATGGGTTTTGGGCACTTTTAAATATAGATGCGCACTATCCCTGTTAACCCTTAATTGGAAAAGTTCTTTGGAGCTGTTTGGGTACAACCAAGAGTGTAGCCCAGTGACAGAGGTAAGATGGAAAGTCACTGAGTATGTCTGCTCACTGAGGAATGTTTTCAGCAACTTACAGACTTCATTTTCTCTAGCCACATTTATCCTCTTTCTCCAGTTAAAAAAAAGTATTAAAAAAAATGTAAAATATACATGAACTTCGCCATTTTAACAAATTTTAAGTGTACAGTTAAGTGGTATTAAGTATATTCATGTTGTGCAACTAAAATCTATCCATCTCCAGAACTTTTTTCACCTTCTAAAACTGAAATTTGTACCTGTCTAACAGTAACTCCCCAGTTTCCCCTCCCCACACCCTGGCAATCACCATTTTACATTATGTCTCTGTGAATTTGACTGCTCTAGGTACTTCATGTAAGTGGAATTATGCAGTATTTTTTCTTTTGAAAATATTGAACACTTCATAAATTTATGTAGGTGCCATGCTAATATTCGTATTGTTCTAAGTTTAGTATGCGCTCCTGGAGTACTTTTTCTCTAATTTTAACATTACTAACTACTCAAAAATGTTTAAATACTAACACATATATAACTGGGGTGGAAATGATAAGCATTTACTTTTCTGGGTGCATCTTGCCTCACCTCTTTTGCTCCTCTTCATAACACGAGAAAGTGTTCCTAAGCCTCTTTCAGGCCGGAAGTATACATTCTTATTTAATATCTACTTTGAAACCTCCTTTTAGTTAACTGTTTCTCTTCCCTGTAAACTATATACTTTTTTAACTTTTTGATAATTTTTGTTGGAGAGCTTTATGTAAGCTTTAGTTACTACATTTCCATCACAGTTTTATAGCCTATGTGCTATATTTGGAAGGATTTCATCTTTTACTGTAAATAGAGTGCAAGAAATAAATGCTTGGTTCTGCATCTGGACCTCAAGACAAATTGTATTCTGAGTTAACTATTTCCGGCCCTGAAAATAGAATTCTTCTCCATGAGGAATACTTTTATTTAATTACTTCTATTCTGTATTTCATAGGCTGCTCAAGAAAAAGAAGAACTTCAAAGGGAAGGTGACAGTTTGGATGCTAAGATCAACAAAGCTGAAAAAGAAATATGTGCTCTAGAAAACACCTTGCAAGTGCTGAACAGCTGCAATAACAATTACAAACAATCTTTTAAAAAAGTGACTCCATCTAGTATGTAGGAGTTAGCATGTTTTTACAAATATATGCAATGAAACTTATAGTTATTTTAAAGAAAGGAACATTTTGAGACATAGAGAACAAAAATGTACCATGTTTGACTGAGTCAGAAAAAATATCCCTCCCCCTTAAAATAAGTGCTAAGGTGTTATTTCCATTATCAGCTCTAGTGATACGGCATATCACTTATCTAGGGGATTAATTTCAAATCCGCAGAAAATAGCAGCAGATTGGCTGCTCTGTGTTGACTAAATGAGTGGCTACTACATATGCCCATATTGTTTTTCAATAAGTAGACGTAAAGAATTTAACCTTTCATTTGATAAAAATGTTAGAAATTTAACATATGTTAAGACTTTAAGATTGCTTTCTACACAGCATGTTAAACATTTAAACTAAAAATCCTCTAAATTCTAGGTGATGAGTATGAACTAAAAATCCAACTAGAACAACAAAAAAGAGCTGCTGATGAAAAATACAGGTACAAGCAAAGACAAATCAGAGAGCTGCAGGAAGATATCCAGGTAAATTCTACAGGTGTTAGTGATAAGCCCTTAGTAGAAGTCATCTATCATTATTATGTCTACTCTTGTTACCCGGTACAAAGACCATTTTATAGAGAAGTGGTAAAACATAAGTCTCATATAAGTAATCAAAAATTAAAATCTGTGCTAACGCACAATATGGACTCCTGATCATCACTTGTTAATTAGTTGATGAAGCACTGCTAATTATGATCTATCCACTAATCTTTATTTAATGTACTTTTAATTCATTTAATTCCTTAAAGATTGCTGCTTAAAACAAATTGAAAGATAAAAATAATCTAGTAGAAAGAGGTTACTAAAGCACATCACTGAAAGAGAAAACAATGTGCTTGGTAAGCATAAAATTTAAGTTTTTTTTTTTTTGCTAACAAAGTTAAAGGAACATGATGTGAACTGTGAATGTCTGAAAATTGCATGCTTTCAATAGTTACTGAATTGTTTCCTTCCCAAGTACCATAAAAATACTTTACAGTGGAGTTACATACAAAACTTAATCCTAAAACCACATTTATTATCTAATAAGAACCATTTATTTTACTCAATAAAATGTTATATACAAAAATAAATGAATTAAAGTTAAATGAATACTTGACAAATAGCAAGCAATGAAAGTTATTTTTGATTCTAATGTTAATATTTTATTTTCTGCAGAGTATGAAAAATACTTTAGAAGTTATAGAACATTTAACAAATAACATCAAAGAAAAATTATTAGAGAAGGAGGCTTACTCATTTCAACTAAGTAGAGAAACTGAGGAGCAGAAGCCAAAATTAGAAAGAGTAACTAAACAGGTACTGCTATTTTTAAAAACTGACCTGTCATATTTACATTTTTGAAGTTCCGAATAGTAAACTCAAATCCTTCATCCATTAAAAAATATTAAGTTCTGGAATATAGGTTTATTATAATTGACTACTTTTGACCAACAGTGTGCAAAACTCACCAACGAAATCCGTCTTTTGAAAGACACAAAAGACGAAACACTAGAAGAACAAGACATCAGACTTCGTGAATTTAAAGATTTTCACAAGATCATTGATGGAATGTTAGTTGATGTCACAAAGGAAAATGCTGAGATCCGTATTATTCTTCAAACATACTTTCAACAGGTAATAACAGTATCTTCTAGTTAAACATATTAAACACTTTATGAAAATTTATAGCATTCATAAAGTGAAATCTAATTAAAAATATTCTCCTTCTAAAATACAGTGGTACTAATGATTTCTATTAAATATTCTTCCAGAATGGTTTAGAACTTCCTACAGCTAGTACTAAAGGCAGTCGTTGGAGTTCTAGATCTCCTTCACAGACTTCACTATTATCAGCAAAGTAAGTGGAAGGTTAAAAAACTATCTCAACTCTCATAGCTGCTGCCCTTAAGTGAGCCCAGTCACTTCCACATCGCTACAGTTGTTGGATTTTTCAGTATACTGCCAGTGCTCTCCTCACCCTTATCTACCTGCCTGAGTCAATGTCAGATGCAGAAACAGCTGAGCAACTCTAACCTCTATCTGGTGTCACTATTTATTTCCATATGGCAGAGTGTCTTGGACCACCAGCTATTAGTACGATAAAGCAGGATGAAATTTTGGAGGTCACACCTAGTATGGTTAGCCCTGAGTTGGGTGCAGGGGGAGGGGGAACATTTTTTAACTATAAAAGGGTAACTCAGATGTAGAGACATGTAGTATGATTTTTATGATTAAAACCACACTGTAAAATTTTAAAGTCAGGATTTGATTTTTTTTTATACTGTTTTAATTTGCTAAAAAGGAAATTATTCTTCTGCATTTGTGTTATCCAGAATCTCATAAAGGGATGTTTAAAATTCTTGTGCTTTGCTGACAAAATAAAATTTTTATGATCCAAATTTTAAAATTCCCAATTTCCTAGTCAGTGGCCAGTTTACTTTTCATTAGTTCTTGAAGAGGTTTCACAAAGCAAAAGGGATACCTAAAAAGATAGGGTTTAAAAAAGTTTCTACGTGAACATGGTGGGCAGCCACTTGAACATCCCTGTACTTTCATACATTTTTTAAAACTCAGAATTGTATGGCTAGTTATAATTTTCAAATCATCTCACCATTTTTTCCTACCATTTTTTTCCTATCACTAGGTCTATTTTCTTCTTATATAACCTATCATTTTAATCTCTTTTGCCAGGCCTAAATTCCCATGCCCTTTCTACTTTTTATGCTTAACAATTTTTTGTAAATTTTTAATGTTTGACAATTCCATCTCTAAGTTGATTATAGTTGAAAACATTTTTTTCTCATATAGAAACCTATGTGTTGAAATATTTTTCTACTGGTTTGAAACTTATGTTCTTTACTTTTTAAAAAACTGATTTCTTGATATTAATGGTCATGCTTTTAAAAGCACTATTAGCACTATTATGTACTTTTTGACCTCTTTAATTACTTGTGGGATTATGGTATGTTTTGCCATTAATGATGGGGTCTCTATTAAGATACAAATTTTGAATTAAATTTACAATAATTGTTTTTTCTTTTAGGTCATCGAAGAGTACCACAAGTACTTCTGCTTCTCAGACTTCGATCAAAGTATTACAGCTGACCTTCCCAGAATCTTCTTCACTAACTGGCAGCACTTCCAGGCCAACTAGTGCTAGCAGTAGCTCCAGTAACGATAAAAGCAAAAAGAGCAGCAAGTAAACATTTTAATCTCTCTTTTGAATTGTAAACACAAAAATTTCATATTTCCAATAGTAAATTCCACTGTATGCTTTTGGATACTGTATAATGATATATAGAGTCCTACTGAAATAGTGTTAGGAAAGATACAGACAAAAGTTTTATCCAGTGGAAAATGTAAAAATTAATAGTTAAAAAAAAAAAGTCAAGCAATTGTGTCCAAATAAGCCAAGGAAATGTTTAATTTTCTTATCCTTTTTCTGATTATTTTCTTCACAAAGAAGGAAAGCAGTTATAGATTTTAACAATGCTACATGTTATACAAACGGAAAATTATGTTTTTCACTGTTATTTTAATGTTATATTAGAAAATAGTTCACTTTATTACTTCACACTAGCCATGAAACTACGCTTTTTTTCCTGAAAGATGTAACAGAATCTTTTCAGGAAGAAATTTCTAAAGATTCATTGTACTATAAAGAGTTCATTGCACTACTAAAATTCTTATTTACCCTAGAAGATCCTGAAATTAGGTTTTCTTTCTTGAAAGAAACATTTTCCAGACTTTTGGGGGAGAAATCTATTAGTTTCCTCTTTTGGTATAATTTAAAAAATTTTAACCAAAAAATAGCATTACCCTCACCCCTCCACCAAAAAAACCAATTGACAGGAAAGAGAAACACTGTACATCAATAAAAATGTAGCTTAAATTTTTAGGAATTATTCTGCTCTGATCCTGAGAGAAGTCAAACACATTAAAGATTTTGCTCTTTAGATACAGACAACCAAACATAAAGAATGTATTTCAAAATTTTCTTGATTTAATAAACAAAGCTAGGTGTGATTCGATTTGCAATAGGAATTCCATAAATTTATAGTGGAAGTAGACCACAAGATATAGAATTAGTTATTCCAGTTAATACTCCATTGTAACATGTACCCAACACTTTGAACTCCTGGAATAGTGTGGAGTATCAGTATAATGTTATTAAACTGTTTTTCAAGTCTATTAGAATCTAAGTACTTAAATGAGTATCGTCTCCTTCAAACCTTGGAAAAAAATGTTATAATTGCCATTCTTTAGAACTATCATTTGTCGTTCCTTCTGAAAGGCAGTAGCAGTGGTAAACCTGTTTCTCCTGATCATTATTTGAAAATATCACTTTTAGAAACAACCAGCAAAAGGTATAGCCAAGTCCAATGAATAAGATGGATGAAAAAGCTAGATGAAAAGCTGGATAACAATTTTTTGGCTGAAACATATAAAAACCGATTAATCTTAAATCACTTTTTATGTTCACCGAAATTCTTATTTTTTGCCCTATATTACTTTGTAAATTACTTGAAACTTGAAATAATATTACATACTGTTCTATGAAGGCAGGGATTGAGTCTTACTAGCTTTGTGACCTTGGGCAAGTTAGTTCTCTATGCTTTTTTCCTCAGTTATAATATCGACAGTACCAGTTACTTGCATCACAAGTTTACTGAAATAATCAGATAATATATATAAAATGCACATGGCCTGACACAGAGAAACTGCATAATAACTTCTGTTATTGAATCACCACCCAAAGGCTAGCACGATATTTGTGGAATGGTTAGGTTCTCCAGCCAGCATACAAGTCTACATTTAACTCTTCCAACTTCAGTGTAACAATGCTAAATGGTAAGACAAGGGGTCATTCCATTATCCCTGAATCTGGAGCCATCTTAACATCTATCTGTTGTGTTAGAAAGTCATCTACTTATGGAAACCAAGAGAAGCCTGGGTATGTATAAACTATTGACATAAAGATGTTAAGGAAAAAAAATTGCTTAAGATATCACTAGAGATTCTTGACAGATATATCCCCAATACTATTTTTTTTTGCTGATGTGTTTCCTGAAAACATTAAGGGATTTTGTTAAAATTAAAACGGTGTGTGTAAAATTCTGATGTTGTACTAGGAATTCCTAAAGGTCAAGGGCTATGTCAAGAGTTTTTACTCTTTAAGGCTACTACGGGAGACTAATGGAAATGATACCCAAGCTATTAATACACAGAAAGAACTAGGGACACTTTTAAGATGAGTTTCTTGGTGCAAAGCAACTGACCAATTCTTCCTGTTACTACCTATCGTTTTTGACCAGTTTCTTTCTCTGTTCTATTGTAAAACAAATTTCAGCTAAATCATTAGGCTCCTATCACTAGTCTGAAGGTTACAAATACTACGTGCCCAGTTATGCTTAAATTTTGTTATTTTACTGTTGGCAAGAACAGCGAGACAGAACAAGGACTGAAAGTGTCTTTCTTAGACCTCTGTGGATGGATACTCACCTATCCCCCAACTCATCCATCCAGTGTCATCATGAGTGATAGTATTAAAGGTCCATTGTCATTTAGTGTCTATAATCTTAGAGACGCTGAAGACCATTATAAATTCAACACATATGACTCTTATCTGTTTCCCAAATAATACACTATAATGTTTTCAATAATTTGGGAAAAATCCTTACAATCCCTGTCCTTTCGTTAGCTCTAGTTGCTAGAATTTATTCTGAGTAAAACCAGGCTATTGGCCTAGTCATTTATTCACACCTTGAGAAAGGAGGCATCAGGGGAGCGGTGCCATCTCAAGAATTTTAAAAATATGACCAATCTGTTCCCAACTGGACATCTACAATACTAAGACAGTTTCCTAATTTTCTTTCCATTAGAGAAAAATTCTTGCCAGGAATATAGTCTCTAAGATTTTAAAAATATTTAAAGTTAAAAAAACATTTCTTAGGGCTATAATTCTAGCAATAAAGTAAAAATAAATAGAAAAGAAACAAAATGAACTCCTATCAAATTTTCATGGCTTTATTCCTAAGGTACTTGTTAAGCTGGTATATAAAACGTTTTTAAGTAAATTAGGCTTTAGAGGCCAATTAGATAGTCTGTCTACCATTTTAAAAGTTATGCAAAAATTTTAATATTTAAACAGACGATGAATATAAAATGAGATCTAAGGAACGTTCAAATAAATGTCTCTCTTTTAAAAGCTGAGGGCTTTTAAATAAACAAGAGAGAGAATGAAATAATTTTTGATGAAAATGCCCCAAGTGTTTAGTGTACAAATTTAATTTTCTCTCAAACAGCAGGTTAAGGTGGATTCAAAGAATTCTCATTAACCATAATACAATGAAGAAACAATACCTCGATAATCATCTTTAAATGGTTTAAATCTTAAGAGTAAGAAATACTGTGCATGAACATGAAAAGACTAAAAAATCAAGCTGTGAAAAAGGGGACCTACAACTAAAACAAATATACTTTGAGAATAACTGAAAAGCATTTTTCTGCAATCTCTACAAGTAAAATAACTTTAGGAGCAGAGACTTCCACACTAGATTGTTATGATTAAAAGGTCCTAAACTTTTATTAACAGCCTTTAGTATAACAGTGCTGATTCCCTTGACATATTAATTTTTTTGCTTATTTCCTTTTTCTTTCTCAAATGCAGCTATCTGATTAAATATATTGAGCAAATTTGGAGGTAAATTTTTTTTAACTCCACTTTCTGAATGCTCCTTGCTATTTAGTCCATCTTCTTCTGGAAACTCTGTTTTAATATCCTCCTCATAATTATCCTCTCTTTCATATTCTCCTTGATTTTTACTTACTTGGTATCTTTGCTCATGTCTACTAAAATCACGTGATCCACAATAAGTATATTTTTTATATTTTTCAACTGATTTTGAAGAGTAGTCTGAGCTTGCTGGTGAAGTAGAACACCTCATGGAACCTGGCTCCCACCTTCTATAGTGCTCTTTTTTTCCTTCTATATCTTTTTCAATTTTTCTATAACCATAAATTTTTATCTTGTCCTCTGGATTCCTACAGAAGGAATCTGAGGGATCTCTTCTACTGGAAAAATGTCTTTCTGATTTATATGGCTTTTCTGTTTTGCTACTCCCTGCCTGAGTTTTATAGCTATTATAAAAATCTCTTGGATCTTCAGACCTACCTCCAAAATCATCCGGAATTTCAACTGAAGATGAAGAGAGAGGGCATCTATCTTTCTCTTTTATCTGTTTCTTTTGATATGGAACCCTATCCTGCTTTTCCAGTAGTTTTTCCACTTCTTGTCTTTGGTTAAGAAAAGATGCTGAAGTATTGGCTGGAACTGGGAACCACTCATCTTTCTTATTCTGATCTACCTGATTTGAGGATGCCTTAGCTGAATGCCTTTTGGAACTTCGAGAAGACTCAGAACGGTTCCTCTTATGTTTCTTGTGCCTTCTGTGATCAGAAGAGGAAGAGGACGATGAAGAAACTGATTCATCACCAGAAGAAACACTTGAAGAGGAAGAAGTTGATTTTCTTCTTTTCTTCTTTAGCCTAAAAAAAGTAGTTAATTCATCAGATATGTTACGTACAAAATGTTTATCCATAAAGATTTTACTTCCACTCTGTTCTCTTTAAAGATTTCATAAAAGCGGTGGCTTGGATAAGTAATTATTATAAGACTCTTAGTTACTTTAAGATTCAATTTTACCATCAAGCACCACTTTTGGGAAAAAATATTTTTGTAGACAGCTGTCACTGTAAACAAATCCATTTCTGAAAGACAGTGACATTTCCAACATTAACATAAAAATAAGAACCTGAACATATACAGGAAAGAATTGAAGTTTAATAGATGCCTATCTCTAGAGCATAGTTCCTTCGCTTCAGCACTAATGGCATTTTGTTGAGAGGGTAGGGTGGCAGGGGTCCTAAAAGATTGTAGGATGTTTAGCAGCACTCATGACATCTGCCCACTAGATGCCAGTAGCACTTCACCTGTATGACAACTAAAAATGTCCCTGGAGAACAAAACTACCCCTGCTGCTCTATTTCTAAAACATTGCTCCCTAAAATACAGGTAGTTAAAATAACTATATATATTTTATTTTTGAGGTTTTTTTCCTCCAGATTTCTAGCCTTAGATTCTACTTTAATTTCTTTTATAGAAATATTTGTGGTATAATTGCTAGAATAATTGTTATGATCTGAAATACTTTTACATTTTTACTTACTTTACCTCCATATGGCACTTTGGTTCAACTCAGTGGTTGCTTTAAGTTCAAAAATACCGAATATTATAGTTTACCTTTTCTCCTCTTTTAAGAGCTTACGCAACTTTTCTGCACTTGTTTCTATTTTCTTTGTTTTCTGCTTTTCTTCCTTTTCAGCTTGTTTTTCTCTTAATTCCAAAGATTTCTTTTAGAACCCAGATATCGGAAAAAACCACACGTTAAAAAAAGCAGAATATATAAAACCCAGTTTTCAAAAAAACCCCCACCCCCCCCACCAGAAATCAAATATGGTATACCCAAATCACCATATATCCAGCATTAAACAAGTATTTTTAATGTATAAAAATTAATCATACAGGTGTTTGGCATTAATCATTGGAATAGCCAGAACAGTATTGAGGACCATATTGCAGTTGGTATTCCATGAAAAACGGGGAAGCCATTGCATTGGTACCCATGACCCAGAGTGCAAGAAAGGGAAAGAATGTATAAAAATTATTTTAGAAAATTGAAAAAATTTTTAAATAGGACACATTTTATAAAATTCAAATAAAGAAATTCCATTAAGATGAATTGAGGGGGAAAATCACCATGTTCAAATACAAACCATTTAAAAAATAGCACAGCCCAGTTGGATGCATGATTACATAAGAAATCATTTTCCAGTTTGAGGATGGGGATGAGCAGCACCAGATGTCACAGACACAGCAGCAATGGTCCAATTCAGAAGAAAATGCATGAGAAAACATCATCATCAGTATTACAGGAAAAGACAGTTTAAAATATCTCTCAAAAAGATTTTTAGAATTAGCTCGATTACATTACTTAATTTTGTAATCACCAGGAAAGCTCACTACAGGGACAGTACTCAAAAACTACATACCAAATTTAGGCAATCTGAATTTTCTCATAGAGGTATTTTTACTTTTGAGTAGTAACAAAAAAGAAGAGGCACTAAGAAGCAATGTCAAACCCAATTAGGAAAAGCTGTATCTACAAAGAAACTTTTCATAATGCCTTAAGTAATCTAGAATTGTTTTCTGAAGAAGAAAGTTAAGTTTTGGTATTAACTTCATATATCACTAAATTTCTAAGAGGAAATAAAGAATCACCTGCATATATTTATGAAGCTTCTGCAAAGCATCCTCTGCATCTTTAAAAGTCTCATCCAAATCCAAAGCTTTCTTATAGTAACTTTCAGCATTTAAAAACTTTTCTTCTTCTTCTAACCTAATTTTGAGAGGAAGATTTAGCTTTTTGTAAAAACAAAGTCTTCAAACATGCATACAGGTCAGAGGCTTATTGGAGAAAAACCATGTTTAGCAAATTATTTTCTTAATTGAACAATACCTAAATCTTATGTTTTACTATTTCACATAAAACCACATAAAACAGTACAAAAACACCAAACAGATTGGTGGTTGCCAGAAGTGGGGGTAGGGGGTGGCTGAAATGGGTAAAAGTGGTCATAAGGTATAAACTTTCAGTTATAAGTCTTGGGGATGTAATGTTCAGCATGGTGACTGACCATTGTTCATAAAACCGTGTTGTACATTTGAAAGCTAAGAGAGATCTTAATAGTTCTCACCAGAATAAAAAAAGTTTGCAACTATGTGTTATAATGGATGTTAATAGGGCTTACTGTGGTGATCACTTTAATATATTAAACCACTATGTTGTATACCTAAAACTAATATGTTATGTCAATCATATCTCAGTTTAAACAAAATAAATCCCAAATCCAAAAGACAAATAGGAATCCATCAGTGGTAACTAAAAACATACTGCAAGTCCAGCATTGGCATTTTAATATGATATATTAAAACACATTATTGATATCCTAAATTTAGTATGATCTTGAGCTTTAGCATATTATTATATAGGCTGGCTTTTCCTAGTAGTTCATGAAAAATTTTCCTTTCTACAGAAATATTTTCCCAGAATATTCACTGTTAAAGTTGGAAATAACAACTCATATGTGTATATTGCAATTAGCTTCTAGACTGGATAATTATTAGATGATGCTCAGAAGCTTATACTATGAAAAATCAGAAAGTCTGGAGTAGGATTTTACAAACTATTTTCAGTTTTTATAAAGGAAGAAAAAGAAATTACTGTAAATGAATAAACAAAGAAAACTCCAATGGCTTTAATGGGATAACTTTTGTGTCAGACTGGGTATGAGGAGGAAAGGACCAGTCAAAGAGGATCAACGTTTCTGGCCTGTGTAAATGGATAGATGGTGTTGCCATTCACTTAGTACAAAGACACCAATACAAGGGTAATAAGGCAATTACGTCTAAGTTGGTACTATCTACCTATTGAGAAAGTAAAAGTCTGCTCCAATCACTTGGGTCCAAGCAAAAGTTCTTATGAGTTAAAAACAAATATTGCAAAATCTCATTAATTTAGAATTCTAGTATGATCATACAAGCTGAAGAATAATCAGGCAAATTCATGAAACAGAGAAGAGATAATTCTAGTTTTAAAAATTGTACACCTGAAACTTACTGGATTTCATTAACCAATGTCACAACAAAAAAACAAAAACCAAAAACCAAACAAAAAATCAACAGCAAAAAGATGCTATTAATTATAAACTGGTTTTTAATTATTAAAGCAGGCTGTTAGCAAATTACATCTGAAGTATTGTTTCTTCAAAATATTTTATATATTAGACTAATCTATTAATTATTAAAGATTTATAATAAAACTATATACCAAGTATTATGCCGGCATCTCAGGAGAGTAACATAAGTGACAGTGTTTGTTCTTAATGATTTGCTCTTCCATTTAATCTGAATTTTTGGATTTTGCTGGACAGAGTAGTGCAATAAACCGAATATAACAGTAAATCTTATTTGTAATTAACAACAGTAGCTTTCGATTCATATTTCTGGCATCCTAGTAAAATGATGAAATAAACTGTAAGTTAACTTCTTGTCTTTTTTAAAACAAAGCTTCTAGTGTATGCCCAGGAAAAGGATACCCACCTAATTTCTTATACCTTTACATTTATATTTCTGTGTAATAAAGATATATATTCAGAACAATGAACTCAAGATACGAAAATATCTCTAATTATAAAGAACCCCAATAAGAAAAATAACTATTTAAAAAACATTTTCAAACTTGAAACTAAGAGTGTTCTGAATTAAGTGATTAAAGATGTTATTTTCTTATGTGAAGTTCAAAATTTTATAGCAGTTGGTTGAATATTAGATCTCTATTAAACAAATCTGACACTTACTGCCCTCCTCTTTCTACAAGTGTCTGGCAGAGGTATTTTCTTGCATTCCTGTGAGTTGGACAGTTTTCCAATGCAAGCTCAAAATCTTCTATTGCTTTGTTCAGACTTCCTTTCGTTGCATATCTAGAGATAGGAAACAAAATTAGAGGGGTTTATCTTGTGAGCTATTCATAAATTTCGTACATATTTACCTTGTAAATATTTCTTAAAACCCATGATCCACTTACAATGCTCCACGAGCTACCAAAGCTTCCACATTTTCTTTGTCTATTTCTAGAGCCTTATTGTACTCATTCATAGCATCCACATGGCGTCCAACTTTAAAATAATCAACTCCAATCTTCACACTAAAAAGACATTTGTAGAGCATCACAAACATTTCACAGAATATCCAAACAAAATGTTAATATGGCTAAATTTTTAAAGCACATTAAATTTGGCTAATATTTATTCTTTAATACTTTCCAAATACCTAAAAAGCATTCTGCCTTTGGGTAGTTGCATAACAAATATGTGTGAAATCTACATATCAATATACTAATTCCTTTTGAAAAAAATTTAAAATGTTAGCTTAAGTCTGTTAAGTTTACAACATAACACTATTTACATCTATAAGAAAGCTAATGTCAAAAAGGCATTTTAATTCATTTATAAACAAATTTGGTCTTAACGATGACATAATCCTTGCTTTACCCTACACAATGCAATTGTTGAAAGACAAAGTCTTCATACCATTTTAAAGCCCAAGATGCAGACTGTTTCTTTCTTAATGCAGAAGCAAAATCATCTTCAGAGAAATTTTTGCTATTAAAGAAAATAAAAGTCAAATCAAACTGTATACTTTTTTTTGTAACTAGTTCACTTTGCCTGAAAGGTTAAAACTCAACATTGAAAAAGTGAATCTCAAGCAAGAAATCTGTATTGCATTTACAAAGAAAAGTTCTTTAACTCTCAGGAATGACTTATTCCTAAACATTTTTCTTTAGCATATACACAAAATTCTTATAAATTTTCTGAATCTTTGTCTACTTGGTCACATGGTACATATCTAATCATTGATAGGACTCAATTCCAGGAGATGGGATCACCTAGTTTATTTAACTTTTGGCATGTTGCTGCCACCAGGCTTAGGATAGTCAAATACACCCCTCGGTTATGCAGCTTTTGAGCTCAGCACCATCACCTTATCACTTAATAGAATAACACCAATTTACTATACCTTTGTAGGCCTCTCATTAAAGATGGTGGATTAGATTCATCTATTCCTAGTTTTCCTAGAAGAAATTCAACTACTCCTGGATTAACAAATCCCAAGGAACTCTGCATGATGTTTTCATAGGATTCCAAAGAATTGCTATTTAGTTCAACACTCCTCCTTAAAAAATATAAGAATCACAATATAAAAATCATAAACATAATTAGCATGTCCCATTTCTATTAGAGAAATAAAATTCCATTTCTATTAAAGAAATATCATTATTACATTAAATACTGATACCACTTTTGTATGTGTGGCAATATCATGACTTCATTCCTTTTGTTAAGTTTGAAGAAATTTAAAGTTTATATAAATACATGAGCATACTTTGAAATAAGAGAAATTAAAATTCTACTCTGTTGTCAGAAGTTGGATAAAATTTGCTATTTTTTAGTCAAGAAACTGTTTTGCAATTAACTGCTGTTGAAATAATGTGGATAAATTACCTGTAGTACAAAGGAAGCTCTTCAGAACTAATCACACCTAATTTAACACCAGATAGGTGTGGTGGAAGAGATGAGCTATATAGAGATACTGCAAGCTTTTCATGATATCTGTCAATATCCTTGATTCCAGCTTAAAAAAAATGAGAAAACCAAGCTGATTAACAAGAAAATGCAAACCAAAACAAAACAAAAACCTTTCAAACACTATTCTCATTAATCTATATTTTCAAAATTAATAAAAACAACAATCTTGACAACTGTTACTTTTTTATTAGGATAAAGTTGATCACCTCGAATGATATCACCAGTTTGGTAATATGATAAAGGATCCCCATGGTTACTGTGAGAAGGTACATCTCTTAATGGACAAAGAGCCTGCAATGAGAAGTATTTTAAAACAGATGTTCCATTCTTCGGTGAAAAGGGTCTTCTTTTATCCTAGTTGTTCAGTAAAAACAGTTAATAGTTGACATAAACTTTAAAAAGCAACCAGCGCCCTAAGGTCTAAATTTAAATAAAGATTTTAATTATAAGTAACTTCTATGCCAAAATACAATAAAACAAGTTTCTTGGTTCAGTTAGAAAACTAATGAAATTAGTTTAAAAACTGCTGAAATTTCAGCTCGAAAAATCTCATGAAATTTGCAATTACTGTTAGGAAGCAAATATAAGTGGATTATGAAACAAAAAGATATCTTGCACTTGTTAAAAATGAAACTAAAAACTGTCCAGTAAGTATGAAAATTCCAATTAAATGAAATGTGAATATTCCAAAGTTTGTCTGTAATCCAGTCTATGACACTTTTTGCTTTTCTTCCCTTTTCATCTGCTTTGATAGACAGCAAATATCAAACCTTTTAAAGTGACACATTTCAAATTCAGGACTATTCATCTTTGGCAAAGTATCATATTATAATGTACAAATCACATTTAATTACTGTAAATAAATAAATGGGTCAGGAATTTATTTTTAAATTATCCACATGGAAGTGTCGAATGCCAAATACTAAATAATTAAAAACATGTTCAGCTAGGAAAAGTAAGTCCAAATACTAATCAATCTCACCACTCACTGATATCTCTTTGAACGTATGAAAAGGGACTCCACCCCTGCCAACCAAGGGGACTATAAAAAAAACCCCAAAACGAAATTCTATCACTGCTAATAATTCTTTTAGTAAGAAAAGGTACTTTATTTTTCTCCAATTAATATTTATTAATTCTTGAAAGTGTAAGCAGGTACGCGTAAGTACAGCTGAATGCAGACACAATTCTTGCATTTAAATGACCATAGAAAGCAGAAGCAATCAAAGAAATGAAAAGTGAGTAACTTACTGTGATTTCTAAGTGGGATATATCTCTCATGATGCCACTGCCTAAACAAATCAACACCATGAAAAACCCAAATTCCCGAATGGAACTAATTCTTCCAATCACTATGTCACCACGCTCAATATCTCGGAAAAATAGCTCTCTCCGATCCATGCTAGGTATTTCCATGAATTGCTCTAAAGGTGGCATGACTGCATAATGATCTGAAAAAATAATTAACAAAATTACAATAGTTTGTGTTCAGCTTTATCTTAAGTAGTTAAAACCATCTGCAATCAAAAGATTTTAAGACTCAACTCACCTTCATTGTCTTCATTAATGTCAGAAGTTGCAGGTGCATCTGATTTCCAGGGAAGTGCAAAAAGCAGATCCGCTTTTTTGGAAATGAATTTTTGTATATCAATGTTGTCAACTCTCTTCTCCTTTCTTAAAAAGAAACAAAATTTATGAAAACTGGTTTATTTGCAAAACCTTTCCGTGTGTTCAAGTTTCTGCTCATGGATTTCATTAACCAATGGGGTCCATCCTAAGCTTCTGTCCGTACACACCCTCCGAAAAAAAGTTTTAACCAGGGATTCTCTCACTCGCCAGCCTGTAGGTGGAGGGCGAGGAAACTTAATAAGTGACGCCCGCAGCCCCAGATACAAAAGCCCAAAGGATTTTAGCTAAAGAATCTGCGACTCTGTTAGGCAATTATCAGAGAAAAATATCATCCCGCATCTCGCATCCCGCAATGCCCTCAACAGGAGCGCGGACCCTCCATCCAGCCCTCTGTACCAGCGCCGCAATCCTCACGTGCTCACGGCCACGCTGGACTCACCCGCCCGGCTGCGGTAGCGGGGCCCAGAGCTGCGTCCCCTCCCCCGTCTCGCAGCGTCGCCGCGGTCCCATTACCTGCCCTGTAACGGCTGCTGGGACGTCGGGCCCCGGGCAGGCTCGGCCGCCGATCCTAGAAGGCTCCGGAAATGCGGATTGTCCTGCTGTTCGCTCCGGAGCAGGGAGAGCAATGACGGCCCGTGGTAATTCAGTGACTGCCGCAGAAGGTCTCGGTCCATGGCTAGAGACTGCGGGGCTCAAATACCGGTGGGCTCCTAGCCCTTCGGTTCCGTGCCTCCTACCTTAGCGCCGTTGTGCCGGAGGCTGAGCAAACGCCTAGAAGCCGCCGGAAGCACACATCGCAGACGCTTTGAGTTGCCTCCCGGAAGCGCCCTCTAAGTGGCGGCGCAGCGGACTCTGCCTCTGTCTCGCGAAATTGAGCGAGAGTACGGAAGCCGGAAGGGTTGGGCTGCGCGTTTTCCAAGCTAGAGGCTGACCACGGCTCCGAGGTGGTGATGTGTGTGACGAGTTTACTTTTTAAAATTTCCATGGCGTTATTATTACATTACATTGCAATGGCCTGAGCTCTACTCTATGGTACATAACAATTCATTCTTCAATTTAGTGAGACGGGTTTAAGTGCCAGTGCCCGAACAGGTGAGAACTCCAAACGAGTTCCAAAGGTTCTCTCAAAGTACTCGCTGGATGGAATCACTACTTATGTCTCAGGCATAACTGCTTTGGGAGATTTCCTGATAGGCTAAAGGGTACAGTAAAGGAAGGACAGTAACATTTATTAAGCATTCGCGTTGTATTCTCCATAACCCATTCATTGTTATTTTAGCGTTAACTTAAAACCAGATGGCTTTAATGCCCAGACACGTGCATATATACTTTCTTTTTAACATTTTTTAAGTTTACCTAAGTGGTTTCTCAGAATTTAGTGCCCATAAGATTTACTGTATGGCCTTGTGTATGCTAAAGTCAGTATACTCTTCTTAAGGGTAATTCGAGTGATTTTCAAAGGTAATTGTGACTTAGGTTTTTTTTTTTCTTGTTACCTATGGGGTGTATCTCATATACTCTTATTTTAGAGATTGAGGAAATAGGCCCAGAGAGCCTCAATAAATTGCTCAATGTCATCTCGATTTTAATAGACCTTCACAGGCAGAGTTGCTGGAGAGAATATTTTTATCATATAGAAGGACTAACTTACTTTAATTTTGAGAGTTTTATTTCAATATAAATTTATTTCAATATATTAAAATTTGTACCACTTAACTATGTGTAATTTAGTATAGTCTTCTTGAAGAAAATTAAATGGTAGCAGTTATTCTGCCCCCTCTCCAGCTGTGTGTCTTTGGGGAGATGAATTTGCCCTTCACTGTTTCAGCACCTGAATAGAAGACCCAGCCCAGAATATAGTGTATGCTGCCACGCTATTTTGTGAAAAATCCTCGCAAATCAGCAAATGGTTTACCGAGACTTGAGAAAATGCAACAAAGAAGAATTCAAGTTTAAAAGATAATAAATTTCAAGCCAGTGTGGGCATATCAGGAAAGTTTAGTCAGTAGTACAGACTGATTTGTGTTTAACTATAGAGAATGGCTGTTTTTAGGAAAAAGGGTTCTGTCACTGAAAAGCCGACTATTAAAAATGAACTATCTGGACATTCCCGTAAATAAAATATGTAATTTTAGTTAGAGTTCATCTGTTATTAAGGATCTAATCATCTCTGGAAGGACTGAGAAGCTCAGTGTCTGAGAACCAGATGCCGGACAGTGGCACTTAACTGCCCTCAGAATGCTACCTTATGAGGCCATTCTTGGGTAGCACTTCATCACTATGGGACATCTACTCTTTTTCCTAATTCCAACACCAGAGTAACCTCCAACCACTCTAATTTGAGCATCTAAAATTGCTATGGTATGGCCATGGAAGTAAGAGAAAGTATCTGCTTTTAGAGAGTAGGCAGTGTTCATCAAGAGTGACATTTATTGAATGCTTGCTGTGTACAGAGTAGTGATAGAAAAAATAAACTTTCAAGCAGGTGTAATCGAAATTCCATCTGGGATTTTTTTTTTTTTTTTTTAATATGTGGTTAGTGCTGGCTTTAAATGGCAGTAGTCACAGTAGTTAAGTACCAGAGGCAACCTTGTTCTTCACTTCCCAAATACCACTCTCACATGAGGGTAAGACTTTTACATTTATAGGTGTATTTGAATTCCTTTTTTGCTGGGATAGATAACCTTTGACTTCGGAGGGGACAAGCACTGGCTCTTTGAGGGAGGATTGGAAGCTGTGAGGAGAGAAAATGAGGAGATTAGTTTAGCTTCTCATCTTGGGGAAACCAGTCCCACACATGGGGGTTCTCAAAGTGGACATAGAAAGAAAACACTATTCAATATCTTAATGAAATTTTTTGTTTACTAGTTTGATCTTAAGAAAAATGTTTCTCAATAACTTTTCCAGATTAAGCAGCATAAATAATTAAATGAATCTGTGAGAGGGAAGAGAGGGCAGGGCACTCAAGATGTCAGATCTTTGGTGTCTGGATCCTGGGACTATTTATTGTGATGTCAAATTTAATTTTTAAGTAAGCACACATGTACATCTTTTAACAAACTCTTTCTAGGCTCTGGAAATATGAAGATGAAAAAATGCCAGATTCTTGAGTGGCACAAATCCAATAGAGGAGCAGACATAAGGAGAAACAAATATGGAACAGTGGTGAGCACTATTGTCGACACCTACTAAGTATCTGTTTAGATCCCTTTTTATGGGGGATGAGGTTGCGGGGGTTATTGGGGGTAAGAGGAGAGGAGGAGACAAGTATGTGCATTACAGGAGGAGGGAGCAATATCATTAAAGAAGTAGAGGTGAGGAAAAGCAAGATACATTCTGGGGACTGCAAGTGTGGAAGTGAGGTAGGTAGAGGTATTTTAGTTATGGACATATATATTATGTGAGCATTTTAGTTATGGACGTATATATTATGTAAGCATTGTACATATATTATGTAAGCATGTCATTACATACATATTATGTAAGCTTAGTGGGAAGAGACCCCCATTGCCTCCTCTGTATGAGTGTGCGCGCGTGCGCACACACACACACACACACACAGATTAAATGCCTGATGTATTGAGCAAAGAACACAAAAACTTAGCTGAAGCAAGGTAGCCACATAAAGCTGAGGCAGAAGCAGCATATCAAAGAAGCTATTCTTAGATCCCCCAAGTTTCCCAAAATAACTTGCACAGCTGCTAGTGACACTGTATGCAGAAGATAAAGTCTATCTGGATCTCAGAAACTTGAATATTACCATTTGGGAAGGACCTACACAAATAATCTATGACTATAAGAAATGTTTATAGACAGGTTCTTTCTAGTTTGACTCTGATGTAAACAATTTCAACAAAGCCTCATCCTCATCTGGGGTTAAGGATGGGATATGTGTATCAGGAAAGGGTAGATAAAACTAATTAAGACCCTAGGAATATGTTAATATTCCTCCATGTAATTTTTCAGCATTTTTCTCTCCTTTTCTTAAAAAAAAAAAAAAAATCTCTTTTTGTTGCGTAAGCCAGCTTGAGGTGAAATGGTTTAGAACTAAGAATCTTGACTAGTATGCTAAGAAGCCACCAACTAGTGCCTCTGTTCTTTCTACTCTGCATTTTAAAAATGAACAAACAGATATGGGGAGGTTAATAATTTGTTCAAAAACTAACATTAGAATCCACATTGTCTTCTTTTATATCTAGTACTCTTTCTACCACATCGTACGGTTTACAGCATCAGCTGAAACCATGCTCTTTAAGGATGTAGTTTGTAAATGTATATATGAAACATTTTATTTAAAAAATATCTATTATTATTTTAATATCTAAAGATAGCCTTGAACCTTTTTTCTTAAAATGAGATCACTTTATTTAATTTATAATCACATGGTGCAAGAAGTTTAGATTACAGATTTGGTACCATATAAAGCAGTTAGCTTTATTCTGTTCAAAGTTCTGTTCAGAGTCACCCTAGTTGACTCAAGGAAGAAAGAGGAATACTAAAGAAAAAGTTTGGTTAGCTGAACCCCAAATATATCCTTATTATTAAAAAAATAATTCAAACTATGAGCTCTTCTGATAAAAGTTGGTATATCTTCATTCATTCGGTAGTCTTTGTTTGAAAGGATTCCACCATCCTCTTTTTATTTTTCATGTCACAGACCAACACTTCAAGAAAAACATTGTCAGTTTAATATTTGTCCACTTGAGGGTGCTATAAGATCATTGTGGGTATCAAATTTTCAGCCCTTTATCAGAAAACCTATGGCCAACTAAATAAGGATTCAAGGGTGAGGAATTGTAATCTATCATATAGAGTCATTTTAAGATACTTGTGTTTCTAACACTGTCTCCATTTTTTAGTTACTTGTAGATGTTTTGAGAATATTATATTAATGTAAATCAGTTCATATTTCATTGTCCAAGATTGATTAGCTCAATAATTTTGAATTACTTTTTCCAAGAGGAAAGATCACTGATTTCAGTTTCAATCTAGACCATTTAGTTCTGAACTTCACCCAGGGGTGAACACTGCACAACTCCAGGGCAGAACAGGGGTGTTGTTGTTGGTACATTTACATCATAATCCATGTACAATGTAGGATGCACATGGCAATTCCAGAGATGTGCAGTGCTTGACCATATGCAGTGGCCATCTGCAGTGCTATTCTCAGCCAGCTGTTTTTTACATGTTTTTCTTTGTTTACATACAGGATTTAGAAATAGAATGAGGATATTTCAGAACAAATCTATCATGATTGTTGAAAAAGTACAGTTTAAAGATATGCGTGATGCTGATGTGGAGTAGGTCAGTGTGCTTATCTTCACGTACTTTGTCATGACTGCTGCAAAGATGCAAACATACATGCTTCCTAGGTTCTCATTTTGTGGCAATGTCTCATAATACTATGCCAGGGAACATGTCAGGATTATAACCAAGAAAATTTGACAGTTTAATTGTTGCTGAATAAATAGTATTATTTGTCACTATATTCTGGATTGGTTTGATAACCATTTTTAATGCAATTTGAATACTTCTCTGAAAAACCAATCCAGAATGTTTATCTTTTAATTATTAAACAGTAACTCCTTTTCATTTTATTGATGACAGAACCAAAGGAGAATTTCATAGACTGGAAATATATTATTAGTTTAGTATATTGCCATCCTTAATGGAATCCATTGGAAGATCCAGCATATCTAGGTAAAGATATAACTTTGATCCTACCCACTTTAGATATGACATTTGATTGTTGTTCAAATTTCCAAATGCAGTTAATTTAATGAATTAATTAATTTATTCAGCAAATATTTGTTGAAGGTTAGACACTTTCAGATGTTAGGGATAAAATAGTAAAATAATATACCACAATGCCTTTAGGGACCTTACATTCTGGTGGAGAGACACAATGAGCAATAAACAGAATAAATAAGTAAGTGAAATAGTATATTAGAAAGAGATAAATCCTATAGAAAAGGAAGTAAATAAAGGTAAGGGTCATTGGCAATGCTGAGGGATGGGTGTAGTAGTTTTAAAATAGAATGGTCAGAGCAAGTCTCATTGAGAAGATGACATTTGAGCAAAGACTTGAAGGCGATGAAGGCATTAGTCATTCGGCCTATTTGGGAAAAATCAATTCCAGGCAGGGACAAAGGTCTTAAGGCAGGTATATTGAGGAACAGCAGGAAGACAGGGTGGCAGGAGCAGAGTAAGCAGAGTGCAGGATGTGTAGGCATTGGAGGAACTTCGCTTTTACTCTTAGTGGAGTGGGAGTCACTTCAGGATTTTATATATATTCTCCATATTTATTATGTAACATTATATATTTTTCATAAATACATATTCATAATTGCTGTTTTTAAGCACTTTTTCAAAATATTTTTTAAACTTTTCTTAAAATGGAAGCCCAATATACAAAACAGGTAACGGCAGAACTCTTTGTTGAAGCAGTGACGGGAAGATACTGAACTTAATCTATTAATTCTTTGCCCCTTCTTGTCCCCCCATGCACATACCAATAGCTGGCTGGAGAGGTGCCTTTAAAGAATATCTCGGACTTGTTAACAGATGACTTTTTCAGGCAGGTTTCAATATCACTGATTATGTTTCAGCTTATGTTATAATCATATTTTAATCATTCTTCTCTATGTCTGTACTGTATTCACGCTGGAATTGTATATTTCTCAAACTCTCCAGCCACACATGCATTCTCTTCTGCTTGTAGCCACTTCCACAAATGGCAATTCTTGTGCTTTATGCTTTGATCCTTCCTAATAAATTCACTATAAACCCCTTTATGATCTGGTCTCTATGTATCCTACTGTAATTTCAACCCTATCCATCAGTCATCAGGATCCAACTACATAGATTTTCTGATATATTCTAAATACTCCGAGTGTTCCCTACTTCAGAGTTTTTTCTGCTGTTTTCTGATATGTTCTTTCCTCACTTTTATTTTCTTTTTATCTTCAGGTCTCAACTTAAATGCGACCTCTCCCCTCTCATAGCACTCCATTTATTTCCATCATAACAATTATAATTTATTTCCTTATTGATTATTTGTCTTCTCCACTGAAATATAAGATCTACGAAGGTAGGGCTATATAAGTCTTGTTCATAATTCTATACTTAAAAATTAGCTCAGTGCCAGGCACATAACAGGTACTAAGTAAATATGGATGAGTGACGATATATGAATATTTACAGGTAAATATCACACTCAGAGTAAGGGGATGACACATATGTGTCATATATGTCACACATAGGGATGAGCAAGGCTTAATTAACTAGGTTGCATGAAAGGGGACCTGAAAGTAAATTCTAGTTCTGGGCAATGGGAACATGTCTTGACTTAGGAGATAGTTATGGCAAACAAAACATTCCATTTGGAAATTATAGCAACAGAGAAAAGGTAGTATTCCAAAAAAGTAGTCCATATTGTTGGTTCAATTTGGAAAAGAAGTGCTTTCTTGGATAGGTACAGGGAACATGGTAACTGGATACTTCAGAAGTTGATGAATTTAATTTTTTTTAAATTTAAAGTCTTTTTTTTTTTTTTTAGCTCAAATGGGTTAAATCGTGACAGCTAAAAAAGCAAATGTAATTTTCTCTCTTCCTCTTTATTTTTCTTCTCCCTGGTTTACATTTGGTTTCTGTCTTTTATCTTGTGTGAATTGTTGTTGACTTCATTGTATCTGTGACTAGAACAATCTCTCTGTGGTATTCTGTGCATATGAAATGCCTGCATACTTTTTATATTAATCAGGGTTCTCCAGAGGAACAGAACCAGTAGAATGTGTATATATATATACATAAAAAGAGATTTAGTTTAAGGAATTGGCTCATGTGATTATGGAACCTGGCAAGTCCAAAATCTGCAGGGTTGGCTGGCAGGCTAGAAACCCAGGAAGAGCTGATGCTCCAGTTCAAGTCTGAAGGTCATCAGGTTGGAGACCTAGGAAGAGCTGATTTTTGCAGTTCAAATGTGAAGGCCATCTGCTGGCAGAATTCCTTCCTGTTCCAGGGAAGTTGATTTGTTTTTCTATTTAGGCCTTCAACTGACTGAACGTGGCCCATTTAAGTTGTACAGCATCAAGATTTTCCTGAAACTCTGTCGTAAGTGTTCATTTCATTTTTTCCTAAGGTAAAACCCATGTTCACCTGGGGCATGTGATATACTTCTTTTATAAGGCTAGCCTTACCACATCACATCTCAAGTCTTAGAGGGAATGATAAAAATCCTCTTAGATCTTTCTCACTTGAGCCTCTATTTGCCATCTTCTAGTGGATTATGTTTTATTTTCCCAAGGTCAAGCAGTGAGCAAGCCCCAGCTCCCTATCTTGTCATTGACTGCAGGCTTCTATATTATTAAGTCTGAAACTCTTCAATTTTACTAAAACAGAGAAGTTATTCCTTCTTTTTTCTCCAGGAAGTCATTTTTAGTTCTCATTTCTTCCTCTTTCCCGGTAAGGTCTTTTGTTTTATTTTGTGAATCAGTCTTTCAGCCATATCTCTTTACATCACATATCTAATTATAGTCATTACAGTAGTAATTTGACTATACAGTCTAGTTTATATATCTGTGAAAATTGGAGATAAGGTATGACAGTATGATTTATGAATTAATTTTTTTTTCTGGTTCAAATGATTAAATGGTGATCCCCTTCTCAGTCAGGCACATTCATAGAAAGATACTTATTATTTTAGGAATTGACAATAATAGAATAAATGGAGAAGATCAAAAGCCTTGACTTTCACTTGTAGCTGTGACTGATTAACTGTTGCCAGACTAACCATTCCATAATAAACACTCCCCTCCAAAAAAACTGGACAAAATACATGATACAAATGTTTTCAGACATTGTACAACAGACAATGCAGGCCGCAGTGTCTGAGAAAAGGGAATTAGCTAGATGTGTCGTACAATTGCCTAGTTTTTCTGGCTAGAGGCATTTACTGGACAGTGGTGCACAGAGATGGAACCCAGACAGAGCATGGTAGCCTTGCTGAGCTGAGGAGATAGATATGAGAGTTCAGGGAGGATTAAGCAACTGGAATTTATGGGGCAGAGGACCAAAGAGGAAGGAACTAAGTAGGAGAAAAATTCCATAAATTTGCATAGGCATTCTTTCGAGGATTTGAGTACTAGGCTATACATATGTAAAGTGAGACTTCACAAGGTCAAAGAACAGCTACCAGTGAAAGAACAACTACAGAGAAACTAAGCTGAAAAACCATCAGAATTTTAAAAGATTGGGAAATGTTTGAATTCTGACTGACTAGGATGGAAAGGCCTTTTGACACTCAGGGAATTCAACAGAGAATCCCCAAAAGGCCCTACTTGTAGTTTTAGTCCTAAGAAGAGGACTAAAACTAGTTCTAGAGTAAAGTTTATTGTAGACCTGCCTTAACAAAGTTGAAAAAGAAGCTTCAAAATGATCAAGTTAATCTCCAAATAAATTGATTGCCTGCCAGAACAAAACTCAACTTCTTTTAATGAAACATAAAAATTGCTCAACAATATCCATAAAAAATTACCAGATATGCAAAGAACCATGAAAATGTAACCCATAGCTAGGTGAAAAAAATCATCAATAGAAACAGACCCAGAAATGACAAAGATGATAGAATTAATAGACAAGGACTTTTAAAACAGCAATTATAAATATGTATAAAATTTTAGAGTGGGAAGGGAGATACAGGCAAGGGAAGGGAGTTTCAGTATTTTCT